CATCTCCTTTATGTTCTTTTTCAGTATTTTAGTTGATATGTTCTATTTTTGCAGATCTCCAGTGACGCGATGCGCAGTAATCGAAGATACTCTTCAGCGGCATGGCCTCTGAATGCGACTATTCCTGTATCAGATGAGGGTCGTATAGTAAAAGAAGCAACTAAGAGACAACTGTATCTTACTGGGTTGGTTTCTGGTTTGGAATCTAACCAGGTTTAGACTATTTCGATGGTTGTAAGTGACGAATATAATTTGATCACGTAGTCTGGCAGCGTTTTCTTTATAGGCACGAGAATGGTACTGTTCGAGTATGGTCGGCCGGTCATGCTGTTATGAATCTGTTATTTGTCATCGATACCCGTAATGAATTCGCTGGCTTTTCAGATGAGGTATTTTTTGGTTGAAATAAATATATTCCCATTGACTCATCTCTCTTTATTCTTTTTCATATTTGTATTTCTCTAGCAACATTTCCCGTTAATCCTTTCTTTTCCGCATCGCTGAACATTTTTTCGAGGCAAAGCTTCAGGCAATTAAATTTTCCAACGTTTTCATCTAACCATTTGATTGAAAAGCTGCATACCGATTTTATCCTTTTCTTCCTGTTTGCCAGCAATCAGAAAAATTGTTACTTCTTGCATATAGCAATTTTTTGAGCAACTCTCGTACTAGGCAAAGGATACTCTTGAAGCTGAACAGCCATGTGACTCAGACACATCCGACGACGAATTTCAGATCACTGGCGACTGGCCTCCGTTCAAAAAGGTTTTGCATCTTTTCCTTCTCTTCATTTAATACGTTAGCACTTTGCTTAGGTTGGTGAATACGATCCCTTCTGCGACGATGCTGGCTTGTCTGTACAAAGATTGGCGTTTGATGAGAAATCGGGACATATCGTTGTCGGAGGTCGCGCAGGACATGTACTTTTGTATACTCTTGAAGAGGTAGAACGGGTACGTGCAACACTTTTTGCTATTTTTAGCAACCGAAAATTTTAGTTGCGTTTGTAGGAGATGACCCCGCAGATGTTGAAAATTGAACTGTGTGAAGCTTCTAAGTTATCTATGCCCGCTCGAAATAGCAAACCGTTGACTGTTCGTACGAATGCCCTTAAATATACGCCAGGATATCAGCCTTGCCCGCTTTCTGCTCAGGATAAGTGGTAAGATATCTTAACCAGGCAAATCAGTATGAAACTTTTTTTTTTCCAGTATGCTTGTTCAACTGCAACCACCTCAGCCAGTGTCTGCTGTCGCTGTTTTGTCTGCTCGAAATCTGATTGCTGCTTCGAATGAGTATGGGTTTGCTTTGATCGATATCCAAAGACAAACCGTGTTGCTCCAGAACACCTTGGTGAACCAAGCTGGTGAGAAGTCTGTCTTTTTTATTTATAAATCAATGATTTAGAAGCCTTCCTGTAGTGATCATTCACAACAGAGAAAAAGTGCTGAAATTTACGCAGATGTAAACCAAGTTACCTTTGACCAAGGAGTTTCCTTAAAACTTGGCTGGCGAGAAAT